AAATAGACCAGCAATAGTCTAAAAAAAAAGTCATTAGTGATTAAATAATAAAAGAGATTACTAACCTGTAATCAGAAAAAAAAAAAAAAAAAAAAGTGAAGCAGAATCGCTTTTTATAATAAAGCGTTCGCTTTTTCGCTTTTTCGCTTTTTCTCGTTTTTTTCTCGCTTCGCTCACGTTTGCTTCGCCTGGGGTCCTCCAGGCGAGATAAGCTCGCCTCGCCTCGCTTCTCGCCTAGGCGAGCGCCTAGGCGAGCTTTTCAAAACACTGCTAAAACCTTCTATAGAGCTTCAAGAACAACCCTAGATCCTTAAGATCGAGAGGCCAAACCAGCTTGATTCTTCAATTCAACTTCACACATTGGAGATAACCTAGTTTGGTGACCAACTAAACCCACATTGGAGAGTGTGCATACTTATAGTTTTGGGTGAGAAACCTTGAAGATTGGTTGTGGGACATAGACGATCCACAGCAGTGAGCGTGTCCAAGTGAACTGAGATTTTAAGTTAAATTCTCCTTTAGTAGTTTAGCTTTAGTGGGAGAATAGTGAGATTTCTAACATCAGTCACATTGTCAATTTTAGCACATCCCATTTGAATGCATAGCGAGAGCTATTGAATGTTTGTTTATGGGTTTTCATATATCATCTCAAAACAACCACGTTCAAACTCCAAAATGGCCATTCAAATGAGGTTTGTACTTTGGCCTTGAAATATTATTTTTGATCCAAAATTGTCAAATCAACACGCAAAATTCTATATGTATTTATGAGATCAATTATGGAATTTGTCACACCCCGGATTGGCCAGGCATGCGACAGGTGTTATTTCGTTCCGTTGGATATTGTAATAACGTAAGGGAACAACAATGTAGGATAGCGGAACAACCTAGCACATTCAAATTACATAATTCTGTATAAATGTGTACATAACATGTATCCTACTAAAACTATTACACATTACATGTCAGATAAGCACATCCTACACATAAAATTCACATATATGTTAATTACATCCTTCTAGTACATTTCCTAAACTATATAAAAGTTCGGGTAGTTCACTATGTACAAATCTTCCTGCCTTGACACATCTGAAAAGGGGAAAGTAATGTAAGGTGAGCATTAACAGCTCAGTGGAGTAACTTAATTTTCAAGTAAATGAGTTTGAAAATATATAGTTTAGCATGATTGGGTAAAAGTGAAATGAACATTTGATATAAATATACATATAAAAATGTCATTTCCTATAAACAGAATCATTTAATTAAAGACTTGACAGTAAAAGAGAGTTTAGGAATATCCTATACAGTGCTACACCGGTGGGCAATCAACCTAATAGACCACTCAAAGTCAATACGAATATACGATCCAACCTTTTAGAGGACTACCACCCCGGGAAAGATAAGATCCCTAATCAAATTCAGCACCTAAGTCAGAAGACCAACTGGGCCAGGCATTTATGAACTCAATGAGAATCCTGTACGGCCTTAAGCTAGAACGTAAACCCTCGGCCCCTCGATCTGTGTGTACTTAAGTTTAGCTTAAAAGGGTCCCAGCATCTCATTTAATACGGATAAAATCATCATTTCGAACAATTATGCGTAACCCCACTCAAAACCCTAATTTGAATTTGAAATTTCAAGTCCAACTTCAAATACCCAATCATATGATTTAAAACATGTTAAACAGTCATAAATATTGTAAGGAATAATTCTAAAAAAAATTTAAAATGTTTCGTATGATCTAAAATTGAGAAACCCTACTTGATGAATTATCTGGACCTAGAATGACCAAAAATGAAATGGTGTTATTTTTTAATGAAATTTCATACACATACTAAATTTAACTAATTAAAATTGAAATTAAAATTTATTTGACAAAAATACCCAAAAACCGGGTCAAATCGACCCTAAAAGGCAAAACAAACATTTTATACTACATATTGATCTGGGTATCGGTTTAACCTCAAATTTTTATCGGGACATCCGCATAGAGTTATGGAACTTTTGACACCGACCAGAGGTCCATTGGACACCAGATGCGCCCTCACGCGCCATTGGGGTGTCCAGTGGTCTTCCAGTCCACTTCATCTTCAACCTCTAGCAAACCTTAGGTTCCCCACTTTATGTTGCAGGAACCCTAATTCTCACTACTATATCTCACTTCACAGTACATCTTTTTCCCTATTTTTAAAACTCACACACCACATTGCACTCTTTAGATTCTCATTGGGAAGACACTTTGAATCAAACTCTAACCCATCTAAAAATTAAACCAAAGTTTAAGAAAAATAAGGTTTTCAAGTTATGGCCAAACGTGCAACTGCCATTTTTACCCGCCAAATGAACTCTAAATTCATTTTTAAGGTTACCAATGGATTTCTAGGGTTCGTTTTAGTCTAGATCAATACCTCTTACATTTTAAAAACACAAGATTCAATGTGTCAAATTTCCAAGAACACAAACCCTAGCCTTTAACTTCACCTTCTTGAAACCACCTCCACAAACCATGGCCACCCTTCAAACAACCATCAAACTTCAAAGCAAACATTTAGCAGTCGTTTCCAAACTCAAAATTAAACCAAAACTCTAAAAATTCAAACTCGTTTTAAAACTCATTAAAACCCAAAATTTCGAAATAGTATGTAAAACATGTTTTAAACATAAAAAATGGACTCCTAACATCCTAATTAGGTAAGAATGATACCCTTTGATGCTTGAAGTGACTCTGACGAAGTTTTGCTGTTCTCAGTTTCTCTTTCTCTCTCTCTAACTTCTCTCCTCAGTATGTCTCTCCTCCAAACGGTTCTTCCAGATCCATTGCTGTGGTTGGAGACTTCAGCACCTCCTCAAGGCTTCTGGAGGCTTGGAGAAGGACGGGGAGCCTCTTGTTGTAGTTACGCAATAGCTTGGATAAAAATGTCATTCAATGATATTTTTGTAATTATTTAAAAATCCAAAATTAATTTTAAATATATATATATTTTTATAATCATATACATATTAAAACATGCCCTAGAAAAATATGCACCTACTTTTAAAAATTAAAATAAATATTTATTTTTGTCTCTAAATATTTCGTTTTGCACCCCTAACTATCTGATTCGCGTTAAACCTACTTCACCAGATCCACACTCTGGCTTCCTCCCAACTCACCAATCAAATTCCTACCCAATTTTTGCATCCCAATCATCGTTAAAACACCCTCCAACACACAAACACACTCTAATGATCCTCTGTTCACAGTCCAACTCCCCGACATCCAAACCCCTAGTCACTCACATCCAAATCTTGATCCGATTCTTGGTCTCCGAATATCAGGTTATTACAGAATTAAGTTATGTTTACTCACTTTAAATTGATTATCCGTTTCCTTCACTTTCCTGGTAGGATTGGGAATCCTGTAGTTTACATATCCATATGATTGAGTCCTTGGGTTTTCCAAAAAGTATAAAATGAAGTGCTTCAAATCATTGTCATTTGACTCGGACCTGTTCTAAAAAAGTTGAGGTATTTCGAATTGTTTGTTGACACGAACAAAGTCAGAGAAATCCCTAAGCCACTTATGATCTCTTTTTGCTAAATTTAAACAATTTCAACTCAATACACAAGTAAAGCTTATCGTTCAAGGTTGCGGTAGTAGCCATTGACTTATAGAGTAGTGAGAAGCAACAATCACCGTGTAATAAAACAATTGGGCAATACGCAAAAATTGTTAGATTAAAGAAGTTACACATGAAAGAGATTCAAGCCATATCACGGTGTCGTAGAGTGGTATCAATCGATTTTTGATGACTATGACTCAAACAACTCAAAGTTAACTTGGACACATCTTAAATGGTTCAACTGAGTAACATGAGAATCGTTGTTATGTGGAAGGTATCAGATCTGAAGGTATTGAGTCAGATACGATTTGGCAGAGACACATTGCTGTTGGCCAAACATTTTAATCATGCTAAGGCTCACCAGGTCGCTAGGTTTACTTAACAACCTACATAACATCTAGTCGTTTTGACATTGGCCGATCCTTTGAAGCATGCTAAGGTTAACCAGGTCTCTAGGTTTACATAATAGCCTACATAGCGTCTATCATATGATGAAGTCTTCAAATTTCTTCAACATATTCTAGCTTCGATCTTCAATCTTCAATAACAAAGAACTATAAAACTTTTATTGATGTCACTCGTGTAATTTTCAAACACAAGTTTGAATTTTCAAACTTATGACATCATTCTACGAAAAACTTGGATTTGACTAGGTGCATTTGAACCTGTATTTCTGTTTTGGAAGAGACAGCATTATTTTAGGCGTAAAGCAAACGGAGATGCTCAGGTTTCCTGAGGTCTAAGCGAGAGGTGAGAGGCAAAGCAAGCCCTTCATCAATGCGAGGTGAACAAAATGAAAACTGAGCAGACATTTTATGATTATCATTCTAAATACTAACTATTCAAGTTTCAACTTCTCAAATTCTAGATATTCAAATACAACCAAAAGCATAAACATTTAAATTCAAACAAGCAACAAGAATTTCTCAAACCTTAACATTGGATAATACACAAGTCAAACTGTTAAAACGATTAAACATTCATTCAATTTCCGTTTATCCCTCTCCCGCAGGCCCTTAATTTGGTCCAAACCTGTCGAGATTCAAGAGAAAATTTTAGGGTTCACATAAATATTCATGGAACCTCAATTTGCTGTATTAGTGCACATCAAAAAAATTTTCCAATTTAGTAGATTTAAGGTCCATAACAGATCAACATAGCAAAAAAAAAAGAAAAAAAAATAGAAAAGTGCTTGCGTCGTCACCTAGAAATTAATCTTGAGCACTCGCTTTTTCAGCTTAAGCTTCGGTTGTGGCACATCGCCTCACCTTGGAGCACTTGAGGCAAGCTGCTTCACTTGACTTCGCCAATCACCTAAGAAATTGCCTAAGTGCACTTTTGATAACACTTGGGGAGGCCATATTCCTCTCAGTTTTGGGACTAATTGTATGAGAAGGAATGGCTCTAAATCGATGTGTTAGTTGAGACACGATTATTGAAAAAAACAACCGCTGATGACTTGCAATCTTGGCATCGACAAGAACATACGATGAGTAGACAGGCAAAATCTCATTATTGAAAACTAAATATATATTTTCAATTTTCTAGCTATATAATATTGTTGTTAATTTTTCTTATTCTTCTCATGGATGTTTCTGGTATCTTTTTTTTTTTCACTTGGTTAGGTCATTGGATCAATCGCTGGGGTAAGGCTTCTCATTGAGACCTTTCCTGAAGTAGGACATGGGCCACGTTTGAATGTTGACATCCATCAAGGTGCACTGACAGAAGGATTTCTAACGTTTACAATTGTAATTATATCACTGGGGCTTGCTAGAAACATTCCAGGAAGTTTCTTCATGAAAACTTGGATCTCCAGTGTCTCTAAACTCACTCTCCATATACTTGGCTCTGATCTAACTGGTGGATGTATGAACCCAGCCTCTGTAAGTACTTTTACCATGTCTAGTTGCTCTGTTCTATGTTTTCTCCTGAACATTCAGATTTCAGATATTTTGCTTAGTATTTGGAGTGAAGATCTATGCATTTCTTAGGTAATGGGTTGGGCTTATGCTCGTGGGGATCATATAACCAAGGAGCATATACTTGTTTATTGGCTTGCCCCAATTGAGGCGACTCTATTGGCAGTATGGACATTTAGGTTGCTAGTCCAGCCACTGAAAGAAGGAAAGGAAAACATGAAGACTAGAAAACTGGACTGAAGGGATTTCCTTCTTTCGGATTTTGATTGTATTGGATATAGTCTAACCTGTGATTATCAGGGAATCAGAACATGCAGAAGGTAGCTACAAGATTAAAATTCGACCAGTGGAGTTCATTCTCTTTGGAATTTGATTTCTTTCAGTTCATCCAATGTGTAATTATTGTAAATTATGTTCACTGTTCCAATTTTTTGTGGACAAAATTTTAAAATTTCCCACATGCATGCATGCCCTAGTAGCATCCTTAGGATGATATGATTTGTACATTGAGGAGCTAATATCATTGCTGTAATTGGAAAAAATTTTCCATTTTGAATGACATTTGGCAGAATTGTAGAAACATTGTGAATGGCAATCTCTGTTCTTTGGCAAATGCCTGAGCCTGCCACCAATGTATTTGACAACCAAAACTAGCTTGCATGAACAGAGATCCAGTTTCCTTTGAAAAAGAAATGTACTGATTACAAAAGGTTAGCCGGACAACTGGGATTTTTGGGAGCATCATAATGAATGTACAATACTTGAGCTAGAAAATTGAAGAAATGTTCCTTAACTCGAAGCATATTCCTAAGGCACACCATGGTAAAATTCTTGTTAGAATTCATTTTCGTTTATACCAACCACTGGTGTGTAAATCATAATGAATATACACAGGTGCTCTGGTATTCTCCTTACTGTGGCTGCTTTGGCTTGTGTGGTTCCTTATTTTCAAATTGACTGTTTATATGTTGAAATTTGTTTGTCATGATAGACATAACAGACGATGTAAGGAAGACAAGTGTCAAGAGATATTCTCGCCTGTGGACAAGTGTCCAGAATGAATCATGTTATATTAGATGAGTTCAGTCACGTTATCATGTTAATTTTAAGGATTTCAGTTTATGTTAAATTTGGATTTAGTAAGCATGTTTTGGGCTTGAAGAAGGAAACAAGGCAAGGTGATGTAGTGAGTCTTCAGGAGGCATGGCTGATGTTTAATCAGAAGAGTTCATTGTAGATTGCATGTCTATCCTCCTGGAAGAAATGTTGAAATGCCAATTAGATAACCTCATTGGAATCTTTTGTGCATGTATTTTAACTTAATTGGAGTAGCTTTTCTGGTACACACAGTGGAGTATTGCATTTTTCAACCGAATCCAAAGCCCTGAGTTCTGTTAATTTGTGAGCCGGTTGCAGATTAGGATTGTTACCCCTAATCATGGTCTGGTACGGAGGCTTTGTCATGTTATAAAGTCTATGTAGTTAAAGCCTAGTTTGATATGAAGCTTAAAGGCAGTTTGATTGTAGTAGAGCTGGATGAAGTCACCTTGCCCGTGTGATACCAGTATTATGCGACTCCATTCATGTATGTATCAGCATACTCACAGACGGCAAAGCCGTTCTTTAATTGCACCGAGTACCTTAAAATGTAATTAACTAGGTAGCACGTTATAAAAACTGTTATAAAACAGAGCACCCCTTACTGATTTGGTGATCATATGGTTGTTTGTTGTTGGCGATGACCTTCTGAATGACATTTGCTAATGCTCATCAATGAAATTTTACCTTCTGAGAGAGCTGTTTTAGCTAACTAAAGTTGAGTTTGAAATGCTCACAGGATCGCGGCAAAAGGACTTCAGTTGGAATACTAAGATAAAATAAAGGCTTAGCAGATTTTTCAACAGATTCAGTTACCTTGTTATGGACATTGGCATCAAACTATTCCTTTCTCCACATTTTATAATTTTGGGCAAATTTCATTTTATTCCTTACAGTTTGCCCTTTATGCACATCAACCCCTTCACATTTAAAAATAAACATACTTTGTGGACCAAAGTGCACTATTAACTATGCTGACGGTGAATAAAAATGGCCTAAATGCCCCCACCCTCTCCCTCTTTCATCTTTGACAGAGCTAACCCCATTCTTCACCTTCATCCCCACTGCTGCCATCCTCCAAAAACCACCGCAAACAATACCTACGGCAAAACACAGCCCCCAAACATCCACGGCACCCCATCTCCCTCTAGCACAACCGCCAGAGAGAAACCCATTAAAAACAACATCACTTGAAGAGAGAGCAAAGCTAAGAACTCAGATAGAAATAAAAAAAAATGTACCTATTTGAAGGGATGTGGACGGGGATGTCAGTCATAAATTGACATATGGCTACTTACAGCCAGCAAAGTGCGTCACTTGGGCCCCCAATGACCAAGATCGGGTAAAGAACGTCATAGAACGATAGTGTACATCAAGCAGAGGAATGGACATGAATACGGTCTGTGCTGAGTGTTGAAGTATGTATACTTTCGGTAGTGAGGAGAACTTTCTAGTGGTGGTCAGCTCATCGTGCATGAACTGAAATGTCAATAAAGAGAACCGTAGTGAATGAAGGTAGTAAGTGCAGAAGATTCTAGGTGACTATGCTGATGATGATGGGCCACTATCGTAACTCCTCCCAAGTAACCTCGGGATCTCTCTTTGGTTCTCCTCGTACTTGTTCATTCTTTTATAAAGCTGAGTCATCCTTGTCTTGAAATCCAATAAAATATACTTGTCAATCAAATCATTTACTAGAATATAGGACTGTTGCTATAGCTCCTTAGGCAATTGAAAATCTGCATGTTCTAGATACGGCCTACTTGTGGTTCTGGCGGCACTTATTACTACACCTCTGCCTGAATTCCATGACTCTTTTTCAACGAAATTTTATCCAAGGGTGCAAAATGTTCCACAATAGACCATAATATATCTGATATCACTCCATTTTGCGTACATAATTCAATTGCTAAAACAACAAAAGGAAATGAGGGCTTTTTATTTTGCACGACTAGTATCATTTGATCTATAATCAGAGTCGGTTGGTCAATAGTATGTCTCATTCCAAAAGCATATAGAAAATATGCTTTCTCATAGAAGACTTGATTTTTCTAGGATTAGGGTAGCAAATTGTTCACAATAATCAAATTCAAAATCCGATATTTATCAATCAACTCTCCCTACTTAATGTATTTGTTTGGCTTACCTGAGACATAATTCAGATTCCTAGTCAACTCAATCCCAACAGTATACATACTAGACAATGTGGTAATGGAATATTGGGGATAAGGGTGTCTCGACATAGGGTTCAAATAATTAATAATAGTAGACATTGTAACTTGAAATTTAATCCCCCTAACATTAGATCATCTCGACTAGATTAAGTATGAGCAGAGTAAGGATTATCCTGAGACGTCATCCTATTACAGTCACATGCTTTCAAGATATGTGCGACCAAAAATTAATCGATTCACTAATGTTCTTAATTTAGAAGATTTCGATTAAAATTAATTATGATCAAAGTTGTATAATCTTAGTATGTGTATGAATGTATATAATTATAGGTTGAATTAATGTATTAATTTAGAATTATGGTTGATTAGATAGTTAAATGTGAAGATTTTTGAATTTAAACTGATTATTTGTAACTGCAAGTTGTGTAAAACCCAGGTAAATTTGAATTTTTTTTGAAAAAGGGCAAAACCATAATTTGTCACTATAATGAGATTGAAAATCCGTATTTTTCTAGAGCTCGGATGACGCAACGGACCTCACCATTGAATTCGTCTCACAAAACTTAGTTACCCAAACAATTTTCGTTGAATTCCGAGATAGTCGAATTTTTTATGTTTTACGAGACAACTAGGTGTCGGGTGACCTCACAAACGTCCCCAAAAATAAATTTTATAAATTTTTCTTAAAATTAAAGGAAAGTTCAAATAAAAATTATTTGAACTTAAATCGGGACAAAATTAAGTCATTTCGAGACAGAAACGGACCTAAAAATGGGGAACGTGCGGCACAATGTGGACCGCACAACTAAAGGGTATAAATAAGGAGAAATATCTGATTTTCTGCCTATTTTCGTCAGATCTCACACGTTAGAAGAGAAAGAGAGAGAAGAGAGAAAAAGAAAAAAAATTCTTGCTTTCTTTCTTCGATCCACGGAGTTCTGTCGGTCGGAATCCCTCTGACTAAGAGTTAAAGTTGATCACCGTGACGAGGGCTATGCAGCCATACCAAGAATGAGAGATTTTACCGAAGATTCAAGGGTTTGGGGAAATCAAAGTTTTTGGGGCTTGAGAGGTGTTCTTGGACTTAGGAAGCACTCTTAAAGGTTCTACCCTTCATTTTACGCTCCAAGAGGTAGGGTTTCCTCCTACATTGGTTTATTTCTTACCTAGAATGTTTTATGAAATGGGTAAGTATGTAGAATAACCTAGGTCACTTGACTGTAGTTATAGAAATGAGGAAATGGGTATGGAAATGACTTAGACCAATTCCTAGATAAGCTTGGTATAGGGAAAAGTGCGTGTGTAATTTCCTTAGAACATGATATTTATGTGGGAAATTTGTGTGATAACATGAATTGTTTGCCTTGAAAGTATTTTGCTAAATGCCTATGTGGAATTAAGTTTGTTATGACATGAGTTTTGTATAACATGTTTGTGACTTTTGTTGAGGATAAACGAGTAGAGATATGTTGTTAATTCCTTAACATCATAATAATTTATAGTAATTATATGCATTTGATATAAATTGTTATGACATATGTTGAAATATGTGGTTAAATTGTTCATCAGCATTCATTGCATTTTGGGTATAAAGTTGACATCACATTCATGGGCATTATGCATGAGTGTGGGTGCGTGAGTACATAGTTTAATCAAACACCACACTTGGTAGTTGATGGGTGGGCTCAGAAAGGTTAGATTGAATATCTGACTGAGTCGCATGTTGCATTAAAAACTTGTGTCGGATATAGTAAGAAGGGCTAAACACGTCCTCGAATATAAGACCCGGCTACTTGGTTCATACAATCTCTTGAGGTGAAATTCCGAAAAAGTGTAATGGTGTGTGGAACCGGCGGTGAGACTCCGAGAATCCGAATACCCAAATAAAGACACATGAACTTGTTTATAAAATAGTCATTCGGTGTGAAACATCAATGACGGGGGCTTGGAACTCCCTGGGTTTTTCAT